TTTTGCTGCACACAATACCACTACAGTGCCGAGAAAGCNGGAGCATTAATTAATTAGGCCTCACAAGCCAGTAATTAGTGAGCTTGAGCGGAGCATCGATCATCAACAAGAAAGGGCATAGTACTTTTTTTTTGCTGCACACAATACCACTACAGTGCCGAGAAAGCGGACTTGGGGATGCTTGCCTGCAAATAATGGTTGAACATTGTTGCAACTCTCATACTCGTTCACTAAATACTGCTTTTTGCCAATTGAGATAGTAGTAATGATGGAACGATATAGCTCATTGGCTAGCCACNCTTTTGCCAATTGAGATAGTAGTAATGATGGAACGATATAGCTTATTGGCTAGCCACTAATTGTCATCGGCAGCCGACACATAGTGATGCCAGCAGACAACGAGTCTCCCTTTTCGAGAGATGGATGGACGCCATCAGTGGTCAAGAGGAGATCCCTTTCCGGCAAATGGCTCGTTTCGCATTGTGAGAGTGTGAGTGAGTGAGTGAGCCTGACTTGACATGCAGTCATCAGAATGGAGATTGGTCACTGGGTGCATGTGCAGTGGCAGGGTGAAAGGAAAGAAAGAAGAGAAAGTTGCAGTCACTATTACACTATTCCCAGTGATCAATCGAGTTTAGTGATGGTGAAAGAGGGTCGTTTGCTTAATGAAGTGTGGCAAAGAAAACGAAAGAAAGAGAGAGAGAGGGAGCTGATGAAAGGACTGCAAACGAAGCAGCAGTGAATGGTCAGCNCACTGGGTGCATGTGCAGTGGCAGGGTGAAAGGAAAGAAAGAAGAGAAAGTTGCAGTCACTATTACACTATTCCCAGTGATCAATCGAGTTTAGTGATGGTGAAAGAGGGGCGTTTGCTTAATGAAGTGTGGCAAAGAAAACGAAAGAAAGAGAGAGAGAGAGAGAGGGAGCTGATGAAAGGACTGCAAACGAAGCAGCAGTGAATGGTCAGTTCAGTGCGAGTGCAATTAACTCGATTAGACAACTGTCGCATGACAGACATGAAAGTGTCCACAGTGTGCACTGCAAATCGCTTCTGTCAAATCGTATTAGCTCTGCAGCTTAGGGTTATGCACTCTCTTGGGTTGAAGTCAAAGGCTTAAAGTGCTGCACAAAATTGAGACTGCAGTGAACAGTCTGCTGCACTGCTGCTGCTGTTGTACTGCACTGGAGAAGGGAAGAGATTTTCAGTCTGTCCTGTCTCTACGGTCTTGCTGGTGATTTTCTGGTCAATGCAATGCACTGAAGTGGAGGAAAAGTGAATTAGCAGGCTGAAACAGTAGTAGTATTATTAGTCCTGCCTAGATTATGTAAATGAGGTCACCGAAACGAGCAACAGCAAATGCTCACACTAATTCCCTTTTCATTTACCCCTTTCTTTCCAATCCTTTCTCTTTTTCCCTCCTTGTTCCCCTCCCCCGCCCAACTCTAAAAACAGCAGAGCATTCGCGGCACCCTCGCCAAGTGCTTTCGCAGCCGACGTGACGAGGTGGCAGAGAACGACCTGCGAGAGCTGAACACCACCCAGGTGCAGTCAGTGACGATGATGGCCACCACCGTGCAGATGACCACCACCACCACCGGTCTGCCTAGAGCCACTGACCACAACAACGCCAACAACATCGCCAACAACAACAACAACAACAACAACGGCAGCAGCAGCATGCGAATGATTCACGACAGTTCGCTCAATGGAAAGCAGCAACATGGCAGTCTGGGAGATGCAGCCGTCTTCGGGGAGGTCGCCTTCGGAGGCACCCTAAATCGGGGACAGCAGCAGCAGCATCAGCAGCAGTATCACCAGAACAGCACCAGCCTCAGCAACGGCAGCAGCAGCATCTGCAGTGGCCTGTACTGCGGCACGCAGACGGCGGCCACGGTGACCACTGCCGACTCACTGCAGATCGATGATGATGACTATGTGTGACAAAGTGTTGACTGGGTACACTGGTGCACTCCCATGTAATGGTCAGCCTTCCGGAGATCGATCAGAAGCTGCTGCTGCTGCTGCTTCAGCTTCCCCTTCTTCTCCTGACCACCCACATCAGTCACACAAAATGGACAAAACACACAACACGCTCAGCCACAGTGAACACACAAACACAAACCGACATACCACGTCAGTCACATTACTATTCTCTGTATAACAGACAACACATCACACTCACATCACTTCTGAACATTCTTTATTTTTGCAACGACTCTAGTCAAATGACTTTCTTCCTCTTCTTTCCCGCCAACTATGTAAAAACTGTTCTCTATGTATCTGATCTCATCGAAAAATATGAACACATCAACATTACATTCACACACCTACGCATAAAGGAAACGAAAAACAAAATGACCGAATTCAAATGAATTTCTCACCAAAATGTAGCAACTGGTAAACATCTGCATTTCACTTCTTTATTTTGTAATACTTTTCCCATTTAAGATAATAAATCTTGCTGTACAAACTCAGTGCAATTGACAGTAAATTCCGCACAGACAACTTTTATGCGGGCACACATACACGGGAGAGGAAAGTGCTTTCAATTAGTGCACACAGTGTTGAAATTGCTGTCTGCAGACAAAGTAAACTGAATGGCCGTTTATTGTTCTTCTCCCCTTCCAAAAGACATAAGACGAAATAATCAAATTGCCTTCAAGGTTCCTCTGTCACAGTCTCTGTCGCTCCTGGTATCAAGTTGCAGCTGTCAGCAGAATTGAGGAAAAGCGAATTTTAAATTATTTCATGTAGCTTATCGGATTGCGGAGAAAAAATCTGATTCCTGTATAAATAGAGAGAGAGAGAGGGCTGCACAACTTCACATGGCCACTTGGCAACAGAACTAAAGCCAATTATAATTGCCCACTTGTCAGAAAAAGGAAAGTGAAAGAGATTTGAAAGAGCCAACTTGCCTAACTGAAATTTCACCACACTGCAAATTTTTCTTTGCATTGCGCAGACACATGGCACACTTTGGTAATCTTCTTAATAGAAAATGAAAAGGAACAGACCAGAAGAACCACCGGCACAAGGATACAGCCAGCGGGGAAGAGAGAACAATCAATTAGTTGGAAAGAGATCTAACATCTCGCCGCCAATCGTCGCTGGATTACATGATAATTACCATGAGCGTGTCGTTCAGTAGTGGCAATGTGCCAGAAAAAGTTTGATCGATATTTCTTCCAAGAAAACCGTCTTTTATATTAGCTTACTTGCCTAAGCCAGAATCAGTGCTCATCCATGTGCTGTTTATGTACAAAATGAGTAATGGAAATGGTTAAGTCCAGTCGTTTGAAAAATGAGAAATGTCTTCAGAAGTGTTCACCACCAGCAATCCTATTCCTTTATGTATTCAACGCAGCGAGAAGGATCAGTTTTGAACATCTTCTGGCATTGGGTCATCAGCCGCTTCAGCGCCTGAATGTACTTCCGCTGTGTCTCATCGTTGAGAACGTGGGCAATGTTCTGCGCAAAAATCTTTTCTCTGCCAGTACGGGCGTGAATGCCCACCATGGTCACGCCGATGGGCCAGGGCGCATTGCCGATGGCCATCTGCAGGTAGGCGTCGTTGGCTTTGACGTAGTTGCGCTCCAGCATGTACTTGATGATGATAATGAGGTGCTTCAGAATGTCCTCGGCCACCGTTTCCTTCTGCAGCGTCTTAAAGAGCGGCTTCAAGTAGTTTTGCGTTTGCGTATAGATGGCCGTGGCGATTTTGCCCTGCGTCGAGCGCTTCTCTGGCTCACTTCGGTCGTTTAGCTTTTTGCCCCACAACTCAAGTAGAAACTTTAAAAATTTGAGAATCACCAAAGAGTCGGACTTGTTTACCACCGGTTCAACTTCATCGGCAGAATTGACTGCACCTGTATCCTCTTCCTCCTTTTCTTTTTCCTTTTCTTTCTCCTTTTCCTTTTCGTGCCGTTTTTGTTTGTCTTTGTTTCGTTTACCGCGATGTCTGCCCAAGTACTGCGCCTCCTGGATGATCTCCTCTATTGTGGTGTTCATCTCCTCGATCTTCACATCATGGGCTCCTTTCTTTTTGTCGCCCTCCTTTCCTGATTCACTACTGCCAGCTTTGACAATTTCCTCCAAATACGCTGCATCCACCTTTTCCATCGCTTCCTAAAAAATAGAAACAAAAAATCAGTAAGCACCACTTGTTATCATCACAAAAGTTCATACCTGAAAGTCATTTCTCAGTCCTTTATCGCCTGCTTCTGGCTCGAGAATTTCGTACTTTCGAAGCCGTCTGAAGGCATCAATTTCACTTTCTCCAAAAAGCAAAATAGGTTCGTTTCGTTCACGCAGCTTTCTGATGACATCCTTTCTTGGCATGATTCTCTCCTCTCCGAGGCCGCCCTTTGCGTCTGAGCTACTATTTGCTCCAGACTGATTGAAAATAAACTTTTTCAGCTTGAGCTTGGCCATCTCTTCGGGCGATTTAGCAAGTAACGCCAATTCTTCCTCATTTCGATCCGAGTCTCCGTTATAATCGCTGCCATTGGTTTTGTTCTTTCGCCTCTGCTGCTCTTCCTTTTCAGCTTGCCTCTTCCAGTAGTCCTCTTCTTCTTTTCTGATCAGTTCTTCTCGTTTAAAGAACTTCTTTTCATTACTGACCAGAGATTTGCACTCCAGCAGTTTGCGCTTCTTCGCGAGTTCTGCTTTAAGCTGTTCCATTGTCGAGGTGTACTCTGGCCAAAAACAACAAGAGTAAATAGATCAAATCAGATCAAATATTGACGATTGAAATGAAAATATTTCTGACTGCAAACAGCTGAGCTGAAAATTGTAAACAAAAATGCGCACTTCAGGGCCACCTCACAGAGTACGTATCACAATGATTGGAAATTAGAGAACCTCATGGAGGATTCCGCCGTAATTTTATTGCGAAATAATTAAAGTTGTGTGAAGTAAATGAAAAGGTTTTAAAATTTGTTGTAAAAAAACTTGTCAATGAGAAGATGGTTCACTGAGATAAACTGAATCGTCTGATTTTTTGCTATCGATTTACAGGGGGATACTTCGGCAAGGTCAACGGCGGCGACCACTGCAAATACTTTTGATCGATAATCTTGTCGGAGTACAGCTTTCGCTTCTTCTTCACTTCGGCGATAAACTGGTTCTTTGCCTCTGGAGGCACCAGAATGAGATGGTTGCCCTTCCAGTACTTGAGCAGGCCCATCAGCTGCAAGGTGGAGACAATATCCGTGGAGTTGATTCCCGTCTGCTGACTCATGTCTACAAGTGGGGCGATAAAAAGTAAATCAGTCATCCTGTAATAATTCTTAAACACCATCATCAAAGTACCTTTCAAAGTAATGTCTTTTCCTTCGTAGACGCTCAGGTACTCCATCACTGCGTGCTTCCAGTAGCTTCGGTAGGAGATGAGCCCCAGGTCGGACAGTGGCTTCTCCGGTGAGCCGACCTTTCCTTCGACTCTGGTCAGCAGGTAACCTTTCAAAGAGAACAAAAAGTAAGTAAGTGATCAGTTCAACAACAAAATACAAACATACTGAATTCAATCAACATTCGGCCATATCCGTGGCGTTGATATGTGGGAAGTGTAAGAATACAGGAGACATTGTTGTTCATTGCGGAGAACTTCTCCTTGGAAAAGTAGCCCACCAGGTGCATGCCTTTACTATCGGCGACGGTCATGACGTAGAAGAGAAAGGGCTCCACGTCAAAGAACAGCGTCTTGTAGTCGAGAAAGAGTTTGGCGAGAAGACACAGGTTTTGGCAGTACTCTTTCTGCTTGTTGCCGTCCACTTCAAAGTAGGAAATGTCGCCCTTTCGGTAGATCTCTTGGCCGGGCGGGTGCCTAAGCGTACACTTGGCAGAGTGTCGCTCAAAGATTCGGGAGGAGTTCATGCACTTGAGGCAAAACTCGCAAATGTACAGCTTCAGGCAGCTTTGAAAGTCATCAGAGTACGGCGAGGTGTACCAAACGTCGATCTGATGCTTTCCAAAGACGATACTCTCGACGCCCGAGTGACGAGTGGGCGAGGTAGGTCGGTTTTCAGGTTGAAGTTCAAGCGCTGAGTTTAGATGAAATTGTTCTGCTGTTCGAGATTGAGCATCTAGGAAGAGCTGGAGATCGAGGCTCGGAGCAAAACCATCAAGTTTATGTTGACGACTGAAGAGAGAGAGAGAGAGAGAGAGAGAAGAAATTGATTAATTTTTTACAAATAGAAAAACCTCTAACTTTACCTAGTGGTAATTGTAGACATGACTTCATTGGCTTCATTGAGGCTGGTGTCCAGTAGCTCTGCTTTCCTCTCTTCCATGAGTGCATTCCATTCTGGATCAGTCTCCAAGTTGCGTGGCACAATTTTACTCGGTGACTTGATTGGAGATTTAATGGGAGTTTTGCTTGGCGATTTACTCAAAGACTTGTTTGGAGATTTACTAGGCGATTTAGTATTCTTCAGCTTAGACTTTATGCGTTTACGATATCTCTCAACGCATTCTGCAGCAGTTTGGTTATGAAAAATTGGACAGGTGTCCAGACTGCCATGAGTTGGAAATGCGCCAGACAGGTGACCGTTCGAGTCGCATCCAGGAACTTTGCATCCATCATTTTGCTGCTGAGAATCCTCTGATTCCGTCTCGCCATGACCATTCATCATTTCAATCTCAATTAGTTTGCTCTTTCTTCCTGCTTTGGAGGGTCTTCCTTGTCTCCTCTTGGGCTGTTGTTCTTCTTCCGAGTCATGGTCGTGAGTTCGCTTTCTACCCGATTTTGAGGCCTTCAAGAGTGTGGAAAGTGCAGAATCGGTATTCAAGCCTAGAGTCTGCTTCTTTTGGTACTTTCGAGTCGTTTTGGGTGTAGATCCAGGCCATCGGCCCTTTCCTGGTGTAGCCCTTGCCGCATCCTTCTCCTCAGTAGTCAGTTTAGTGGAAGTGCTCGGCTCACAGGGAAAATGAGGCGTCGTCTCAGATGGGTTAATACTGGAGCGCGTTTTGCGCAATCCATTCACTTCGTTGAGGTTGGTCGTTTTGAGATGGTCGATGACGTTTGTAATGCCAAGTTTTTTCAAGTTCAGTATCACTTTAGTGTTTGGAGAGGGTGATTTGCTCGCTCCAACCTCAGAATGCAGCTGTGCATCTTGGCTGGATGACCGGAGACGTCGTTTAGGTGACATATTGTTGCTGTTACTCGTGACGAGACGTTGTCCACTTCCACCAAAGCACAGATTGAGGATCAAGTCACGATAATATTGCATCTACATTGAAGCTTTGCGCGTTGAACTGAACAAACTTCAGTTGTAAACATTAGGAATTTTTTTAGTGCGCCAAATGTGCTCCATCAATTACGTCATCTACGCATGTTCGGTTCAAAATACGGTTTGGCTGATATGGCGCTAGCGCCGCGTGTTAGCGTAAAATGGCAGCTTTTCGTACGAGTTGTTCTGCCTTTGGTAATGGTTTGGGTTGTTTTCCGTAAAAAGATGCCTCTGGCACAGACAAAGGCAAAAAACAAAAGTTGCTTTTCCAGTCAAACAGGCGGCGCACTATGTTGCAGAAAGTGAACTTTTTTTGAAAACTCGCTCGAGGAAATTGTTTACATCAGGCGTACGTGATCGGCCGAGGATGCATCGCTCGATCTTTCACTAGACGTTTCCATTTCCAAACTGAAGCTCCCTGCATCAAAGAAAGAAAGCGAGATGGAGGAGGAAGAACCAAGAGAACCCAAGGTTGACCTGCCGCTGCGATCACTGAACAGCCTACATAGGTGTCTTCTTTACATCCGAAACAACTCCAGACGTCACGTTAATGTACGCTGGCTGAACTACGAAGGCGAAGAGCAGCAGTACTTTGAGCTCGAACCGAATGGGCTCAAGCAGGTGAACACCTTCACAACTCATCCTTGGATCTTTCGAGATTCCTCCCGAAACACCATTGTACCAGTGAGTGCTCACAAGGGCATGAGAACCAGCAGACAGAGCACCGAGCTTATGGGCACAAATCTTCGCGTCTTTCATCCACCTTTACTGGCAAGTGATCAAGAGGTAGCAGCAGTTGTCATTTGGGATAAAGTCTACAGCTTGCGTGATGTTTGCTTCCAGAAGTTCATTGATCTAAATATTACCTATGAAGAGTTGGCGAAGCACGTTCCCAAGCACGTAATCAGTGATTTTGAGCTCTTCCGAACCGGCCTGCCACTGAGCCGAGCTGTTCAGTCGCCCGAACAAGATCACCAACCGAACGCTGACCAAATGTATCTGTAGTTTGCCCCAGTTTTACCAATTTTCTGTACATATCTGTTCTCTTTATATTTGTTTTTATTTCTCTGTTCTATGCTTGTGTTGATTAATGAAAATCTAAATACAGAATATAATTCAATTCCGAGATGTGTGCTGTGAGTATTTTTTTCCTCCTATTCATCCAAATAAATACATAGTCGATGATGTGATTGGAGTTTTGTGACAAGCAGCTGCAAGATAATTTATATACAGGTGATTTATTCGCAGTCTTTTAGTGTTGCGTTGCAGAGGCTAAACACGGTGAATCGGTGGCGAGGTCTAATCGTCGCTAGAGTCCTCCTCCCCCTTTGAATCATCGCTTCTCGACAGGTCATCACTGCTCTGCTTCGAACTGTCATTGTCAGCTCCAGAGCTGTTTTCACCTTCCGCGTCACTTTCTGCCTTCTCTGCCGGTGGGTGTTCCTCCTCCTCGGACTTTTCCACTGAAAGCTGCTCATCATTTGGTGGTGGGGAACTGTTCTCTGGAGCGGTGTTGATTGCAGCCTCTTCTTCTCCTTCTTCCTCTTTTGGCACATTTGAAGAATCGTCTTTTGAAGCTCCGGTTGTCTAGAGAGAATAGATAAGGAAACTCATGTTTTAAACGTATGAAGCTGATGATTAAGGCTAGACATACCGGTTTGGTGTTTGAAGAGAGCAGAAACGATCTAAAGTTTTCAAGACAAAAGTCTGACTTATCCCTTACTCTTTGATCAGCTTTGTACTTTTTGCACTTTTTAAGCGTAGAAATGAGCTCCTTCAGCGAGGCGACGTAGGTTTGAATTCCCGAATCGGGCAGCTTAAACTTGCCAAGCTTTTCCAGCGCGTCCAGACACTTCTCCACATTAGGATTGTGTATTGCCAAAGAGGTTTTAATTGTCTGGTCGCTGTTTTCTAAAAACTTTTTTATATCAGCTGGTTGATCATCAACAACTGGTGTCGGCTTTTGTTGGCTGTGTTGCTCCTTGGCAATCCGCTTCTGTCTCTTTTGCTCCATCTTTTCGCGCTTCCTTCTTTCTTTTTCGCGTTCTTTTTCCTCCATCTTTTGCTTCAGCTTTTCGATTTGTAACTTGCTTTCATTGCTGTCGCTGTTGTCCGAGTCGATTAAAATTCGCTTCTGTTTCTTCTTCTTTATAGTCTCTGATTCAGAGTCGGAATCATCCTTTATTCGGTGGTCATCAGTGGCTTTTTCATTCGACTTGCTGGATGACTTTGAAGATTCCTCTTCCTCCTCTTCCTCTTTTTCGCTGTCTGAAAGACGATGTCGTTTTACTCTCTTTGCTGGTAAATCATCATCGGAGTCATTGTCATCACTAGGTTTAGGTGATTTTTCCACTTCACTGTCAGAGCCGGCGATGGATGACTTTTTCTCCGAGTCTGAGCTGTCATCATCTCGAAGGAAACTGTTTTTCGAAAACTTGCCCTTTCCTTTTGACTTGTCGCCTTTGTTGCCAGAGGCGTTTTTCTTTGCTTTTGGCTTCTTTTTACGTCTGGAAGAATCGTCATCACTTTCATCATCGCTTGAAACCGTTTTCTTCTTTTTCTTATTTGAAAGACTTTTGGTTGATTTGCCATTTTTTCTTTTGCCCTTTTTGTTGTCGCTATCCTCACTGTCTGATGCTGAATAGTTAGATGAATGCACTGATGAGTTGTCTAGATCAGACTTTTGAAATGAGGAATCGCTTTTGTGACTTTCGTTATCATCATCATCTGATTGAGGCTGCTCGTCGTGAACTGGAGCATTCTCATCATAATCTGACAGTGACATGTTTGGCGTTTTCTCAATCTCGTAAAGACCAAGATTAAAATGTTTCATCTTTTTCCTTTCAATTCCATACTGAGATTTGTACTGCTCATACGGAAAGATATCTTTGGAAATAACAACAGCTCTAAAAATGAAAAAATTGCAATCCTCAGTGCCTGATAGAACTAGTAAACAAAGCAACAAAACTTACGTTTGATAGGTCCCAAAGAAAAAGACCGGGTAGCGGCCGGGTGTCGGCTTGAATCCTTCTGGATGATCCTTTTCGATCTAATGTAAAAAGAGCATTTTTTATAGCAACAACAACAACACAAAAAATCTAATAAAATTGGCTTACCCGAGCCGGCCAAGGAGGATAGCCTTTGATTTTCGCAAACACCAGATCGCCAATGTTGAAGACGCGAACCGTTTTGGGGGGCATCCTTTGTGTAAACAATAGCGAGGCAAAGGTTCGGCGGAGTAGAAGCACGGGTGCTGGGCAGCAGCGGAATTATTATACCGAGTCAACTGACCGGTGCACTATATAGCAGCAGCAGTTGTTCAGACGGGAGCGCTCATCAACCCGTCAGTGTGTGCTGCTAGTCAACCGATGGCTGGCGGTGGTGATGATGTTCCCGGCGATGCTGAATGCTCAATGAACTGAAGAATAAACACCGGTTCAGGACAAGGAAAAATGGTGAGAATGCCGGCGAGAATTTGTCCCAAACACCGATGCACAGCTGTTTGCCTGGAATGAGCTGCTTCAGTGCACGTGGCTATTTGAACACAAAAGGATTCTAGAACCTTTAATCTGCAACTTTTTCCACCGCTTTCTTCCTTATCTGCAAATTCTCGCCCCGCCCTTCATTCCAGGGAAGAAGCTTAGAGTAACAAGAGGAACTGTCCTGCAGTCAGTTATCAGCTGCCAGATGTGCCATTTGCATTCTTTCACCAGGAGAACCTCGGCCGACCAGCTGACATCTGGAATTGATCTCGATTTTTAGTCTGTGTCGTCAGTGTGTGTTTCGCATTAGTCGAAAGTGGACACTTGTAAAGTGGAAACATGGTTTTATTATCGTGTACAGACATGTAATGGTAAACAGTTAAGGGCCATATGGTTCAATGCAAATCACCGACCAGCAGTGAGCTAGTGAGTGAGAGAGTTTAGGCCTCCTCTTCTCCCTCGACCGTTCGGTAGATGGTAAAGACCGGCTGCTGGACCGCCACCGATCGTCGTCGCCGGCCGCCGAGGGAGATGGTGGAGCCGCCCTTCTTGCCGTTGGACTTGATCAGCGATCCACCGCCGCCGGCTCCTCCGAGCACCAGAATGTCTCCGCCCTTGTTGCTGCCGGCCTCCACGGAGTCAATGCTGAAGGTGGCCATCAGCAGGGCGGAGAGGACAAAGAGGGCGATGAGCTTGCTGTTCATTTTCGATTGTTGAGTGAAGTTTGTTGGGTTTGGCTGCTGGGAAAGCTTTGAGAAGTGCTGTGGTGAAAACCGCCATCACCGACAGTCGCTTTTATACTGCAAAAAAGAAAAAGAAACTGTGGTGGCGGTTTTTCTTTGCTGGCGGTTTTCCGCTCCCAAAAGGCAGCCAAGTGTGTGTGTTTTAGGTAACCACCAGAGTCGGTGTCAAATCGCCAAAGGAGGCAAGAGCGGTGTCAACTGTTTATTTGTCGGCTTTCAGTCAGATGATTACATCAGCAATCGGTTTCGCTTCAGCGACCAACAACTTAAAGTGTGTTGTGTTCACGTAAATGCAAATGACCACTCTCATTAGTGGAGTTATTTTTTAATAGTCAGCCGCCTGCTGCCGCGGCAAATCAAGGTCTAGTTCAGTGGTGGTGGTGGTGGTGATATATTGAGGTCAAGTGATGGAACATCAGTGAGAACAGGATTGATATTGACAGTGATTCGGAACACAGAGAATGTTTTGAACGTTAAACAACACAGCGCCAATTACAGCTCTTCATTGAGCCAAATATCAATCTTTCTATAGGATGGATTTTTCGAGTTTTTATCGTTTACTCGAGAGAGCTGAGAGGTAGCGATCATCGCCTTGTGAGGGTGAATGTCCAAGGCAACGATCGGCCCTCCGGGCAAGGCCAACTTCTCCGGACTGGTACCGCTGATGGGCCAGATGTAGATATATCCATCTTCA